GCAGCTTTCCTGGTACATGAAAGGAGCGTTCAATAACACTCAACCAAAATCACTCCATATGACAAGGCAAGGTGAAGGGATCAGCAGTCAGATATGAAACTGGGTCGAATCCATGATTGGGAATTGGTACGTCATATCATTACTGCATAGGGAGTCGTTCAGGTTTGGAGCGGCAAGAGGTTGTCCACAGGGCAGGGTACTTTTCTCTCTAATTCTCTTATATAGACATTCCTAGTTGACTCTCTGCTGAACGATCTTGCCATGCATGGGGTGAATTTTCAATGCTATGCAGATGATGAAGTCCTTATAGTGAGAGGAAAATTGCGACGATCTCAAAAGGCCTTCAAGAAGCTCCTTATACTGTAAACATGTAATGTGAGAGAGCAGATGTCTGTGAACCCCAGAAAAACTAGGATTATTCCTTTTACTGATTGGCAAACACTAGATAATCTTCGTTTGCCTGTACTAAATTGAGAGGGCATTCCGTTTCCGGCGGAGGTAAAATATTTAGTGGTCCCCTAGACAAAAGACTCATTCGAAATGCCCACATGGCAAAAACAATCAACAAAGCCAGACCCTTCCTCTGGAAACTCAGGAGTGTATGCGGAATATCATACGAAAAACACCCGAACAGATTTACTGGATTCACCAAACAATGGTTGGACCAATGGTCATGTATGGCTCGGTAGTCTGGCGAACTAGAGGTCTGCAAGGGACAGCAAGAGTCGAAGCTTGCTGGTCTTCAGCGGCTGGCATGCCTGACCATTACAGGAGCAATCTACTCTTCTTCAACGGATCGATAGAAAACCTCCTGAACCTCACTCTCCTCCTCATTATCTTGAAGAGGAAAGCCAGAATGATTTTCTACAGTACAGATTCCTGTCACTGAGACATCGAATGAGAAAAAAAGCGACTGCTGAACCACTCCAGAATACAGTGTGGAATAAAAAACCACCAAACTTTAGCAATGGTTCTCGACATGTTGGCTACTCGAACACAAACAAGAAAGTCTTTCAATTACCTTTTTCCGAGAAGAGACGAGTGGGTAGATGAATCGTTTCCAGAGACCGAACACGTAATAAACACAGATGTTTCAAAAACCCCTCTTGGAGTTGGAGTCGTTGTGTTCAGCAGAAAACCGGAGACGGGAATTTGTAGCAATCTCGGTGGGTATGCTACAATCTTTTAGGCGGAGGTCTTCGCAATCGGATTGTGTGCTAGAGACTTGAAGAATTGACCTCTAGTAGACAAAAACATCGGTATTGTATCAGACAGTCAGAATGATCTTGAAGCACTGAGCTCCAGCAAAATGAATTTCAAGCTTGTATGGAGCTGTATTGGATCTCTAGAATGCCTTGGTGCAAACAACATAAAAATTTCGCTGTGGATGCCTCAACAACAGCAAATGGGGGGCAACGAGGAAGCCGACATCCTCGCCACACAGGAAACCAAATCTATGTTCATAGGACCAGAACCATACTTTGGGATAACCGCAAGTGCGGCCAAAACAGTAATCTTGGACTAGGCGGAAGGAAAGAGACTCACGTACTGGTGTGAATTACCAGGATCAACCTATAAACCATCGAAAAATATGACCAGGCAGATCGTAGAATGGAGCAGGAGTAACCTGCGAATTCTGAAAAGACTGCTTACTGGACACTGTTGTGTCACCTGGGCAGGATAGGTCTAAACCAACAAACGGACTGTCGATTCTGCTATGTGGAAGACAAAACAGTTGAACACTCATTATGTTCATGCCTAAAGAGACTGAGGTTCGACATATTTGGCTTCACCAATTCAGAACCTATCGATTTCAGACAAATCTAACCCTATCCAACTATAGACTTTGTAAAAAAATGTGGATCATACAGTGAACTGTGATCTCTAGGGGTAAGACGCAATGGATCCATCTGAGGTCCTAGTGGAGGGGCGGTGCTCGCCCACTCACATGGAACCTAACCTAACCTCCATGACAGTGGTCAGAGTTTTCTGTGAGTTGGAAGAATTCAATGTCAGAGTCAACTGGAATAAGGGTGGATTTTCTTATCCTGAAATCGCCTTTTTAGGCAATAAGAACACAGTTCAAGGGATTCAACCATCAGATCACCGACAACAGCAATTCTAGAGTCTCCTGTTCCTAAGTCAGTTCAGAAAGTTGATCAATTTCTGGGGTTGATTCAATATTATGGCAAATTTTCACTCAGATTTTCAAAAATATCAGATCTTCTGTATCAGTTGTTAGAAGAGGATGAGAAGTATGAGTTGGCAAATGATTGTCAGAGAGGCTTTAATGCAAGTAAGAGGCCGATAGTGGATAATACCCTTCTAGTGCATAACAATTCACAGCAAAATCTTTACCCTACTTGTTATGCTAGTATCCACGAATTGGAATGCGTTTCGAGTCATGAAATAGACGCTTCTCCCAGTTTTTTTGCATCTTGCATAATGACAGATGCACAAAAAACATACTCACAATTAGAGCGTGAAGCATAATTGCACCCTGATATCTGGTATATGAAAATTTCATAAATTCTTTCATCGTATCAAATTTACATTAATATGAGATCATTAAAATATACCAGTTACAGCTGCAAGGAGGATACAGGGATGGGCACTCATTTTGTCAGCATATAGATAAAACATAATAGGAATAAGAGGAACCCTAATAAGTAATGCAGATATCAGAACATTTTCTGTCAGAAAAATCTGGTATGTTGTAAGTCTATATACACTTTCAAATTGAGTGAAATCAACTCATTGTTCTATGAAGACTCAGCTGTTGCAACTAAAACTGATTCAATGTTGATTGAAGTCTATTACTATACTACGAGAGGCTGGCCAGTCGTCCTGGAAAATGGAATAATAGAGCCCTATTTCTAGGAGAGGTTACCGTTGGCCATTGGGAAAGGGTGCATTTTGTAATTCCATTGGAATTGAGGAAATCAGTTCCAGAATTATTTCATGGATATCACACAAGAATACTGATGAGCATATTGCTGGTGGCCTGAAATCAATGATGATATAGAAATCATGATAGCGAAATGTGAATTTTGTCAAAGTTTTCAGATTTCTTCGAATTCTTTAGTTAGCTGGTTCGAAACAAGAATGAACTTTGAGAGAATCCATGTAAATTTTCTTCACAAGTTCAACATGACTTTTCACATTATAATTGATAGGAAACAAAGTTCATCACAGAATTTCCAGTAGTGTTGGTGAGTGACCACCCTTTTCATTCCATGAATTTTCGAAGATTTTTGAAAACTTATGATTTCAGAGCCACCAAAAGCCCTTCATACCATCCTCAATCTAATGTAGTTGCTGACCCCATCAGCGTACAAACAGTAATGGAAGCCTTAGATAAACAACATGCAAATGCTGAAGCTAACAATTCCATTGATTTCATTGAGAAAAATGATCCAAAATTTCCTATTCCATTATCGGAAAATCCAGAATACTACAGGAACATCACTACATGGACTAGTATGATATGATGAAACTCAATACGAAAATCGATTCAAATTAAATAATCCAACTCATTTTATAGGTCATAAAGTATGGTGGGAAAAGTGATGGGGAGATTCAATTTTAAGGATCATGATTGTTACATAGCATTCGGTAGTTTTTTATATACAGAGTTCATTGGAGAATGTGGAAGATTTCTTGGATTCAGATAGTACCTGTGAAAATTAGATGACTAGTTCCTATGAACAAACATTGGTCATGAGACGCTTCGTTTTTCAAATACAGGGTAATGAATTTGAATGAAGAATATTCTATTGAACTATGATTGTATATGAAGGTATCTGAAAAACGAGCGATTTCTCAAGCTAGTGTGCCCGAAATAAAGAACTTCACGTTTTTCCTGTTCATTGGTACATTTTGAGTTCATAAATATCGAAATAGCAAATAATATTGTGGAATGAGAAATTATTCAATAGTGATATTATATCTGACGTTTCATTATACTCCTGTCAAATCGATAATCTAAATGTTGACACTTCTAGATTTCACGTTCCTTGGGTCGATAATGTTGCCGTGTGTTGCCGTGGTAACGCTCGTTTTTTAAAATTGTCACGCTGAGGCCATCTTCAAATAAGAATAGTAGGGTACCAATGAAAGATTATATTCTTCTTTATTCACTGAAAAATCAATCAATCGAAATCCGAGATATTCTGGTGATATATTTTATCTGTGAGCAAACACGTTCGTGATATTTTTCAGCTGAAATGAATACCATTGGCATTCTTAGGGTAAAATTCATGATTCTCCATCACGTTTTGAACAGATATTGATTAACAAATCTGGAATATTAGAATCCGACATGGAATGATAATAATTTTCATACGCAAAATCCTTCCTAGTTATAAGATGAACCGATTTCGAGTGGAAACGAAAAGATCGAATTAACTACAAATGTTAGGTGTAGGTGTCGAAGTGTTCATTCAAAACATCCGTGCAGATCACGAGATAATCATGATAGATATCATATTGGGATGTTTGCACGTACAGTGTGTTCATAATGAAAATATTTCTACGAAAATTCAATCTCAACGACCTGTTTCTCGACCGATGTCAATAGTTACTCATCACCCTATATTCCCAAGACCTGGCATTTGCTCGTACAGTATCACTTGTTCGCTACAGTAATATATGTTTTTTGTATTTTTTCTCGTTTCTGTATTGAAGTAGGTATGTTTATATATTTTAGAATATAGACGTTTTCGACACAGTGTTATAATTGTCTCAAGAGATGAAGAGTAGATTGAATGAACGTGCTAGATATTGATGAATCTGGTTGAACCATCAAAGAAGGGAATGCAAAAATATCATCAGTTCAGATTGCAGTATGTCTGTTTTATGTCGAAACACTCTGTATGAGGTTTGGCGATGATATAAGAACATGTCTATTATTGCCTCCATGATATCTGAAGGAACACACAGGACACGACTCTTGAAAAAATATTCTTACGTTCACTGCTTGTTGTGAACATCTCACTTACCAATAATTGGTGATCTATATTTGCCTCCGAAACCAAATACTAGAGGCTGTATTCCAATCACTTGTAGAAGTATCAGGTCGAATGTTTCAGAACTGTTGATCAGTCGTGAAACCTCCTCTTGCTCAAGTTCTTTGGTGATCAAATAATCGAGGAAGTGGTAGGAGAACATAATTTTAGCAAATAGCGATTGAGTTGTATCCAGTTTCTTTATGATATCAGTATTATCCACGCATCGCTTCGCGCTTGAGCTGACATCTATCTCTGTCAAATTAGGCGAGAACACATCATTGAGAGGATTGGGCGTGATGACGGTGACATTGTGACCCCTTGAAGATAGTTCTTTCCAAATTGGTTGGAAAATGATTTGATGACTGATCGAGAGTACCGGAAAAACGCCTAGAATCCTTGCACATTCTGCAGTATACGCGCATAAAAACAGACACAGGTAAAGGTCGTACCTCATCGTTGAACTTCTCAGTCAAGTCATGAGTATGTACATTTTGTAATCTTTCGAGTAGTTTACATCTGATAATAATAAGCTGAATATGTATCACCTCAAAATTAGTGCATTAGCATTATCATATGCTGCAGTAATGAGGTGATTATAATACTAATGAGAGCAATAAGAATACAATAACCTACCTAGTCTAGAAAGTCACAAAATATCAATAGGTAATGCATTTTCATTACACTGAGAAAAATTTCGATATCAGAGTTTCTGCTGAGGTATTTCTTCCTACCATTACAAGAAATCTCATTACCGTTACACATTTTTGATTAAAAGGAGCACATTCAAATCCTATTCAATGACGATTTAGCTGAAAGTAAATTTCCAGCCACAAAGAAGTATACTATGTTATAGCACCTTGTGAAATTAGACTCGTTGGTATTAACTATTTACGTGTTCAGTTATCGACAGTTCTCCCAATTCTCATTCACCAACGATAACTTCGCCATGAGTAATTCCCAAAAAACCTTCGTAAACCAAGTCATTGTTAAAACTCATATAATAAAACTCATCACAAATTCTCAAGGTATACGTAGATATATTTTACAGGGTTGATATCAGTCAGCCATCCGCAGCAAATTTCAGTCCCCGGAAATACGAACGCTCTGTACCTGTTATCAAAATTCAATCAGAAAACATAAAATATATGACAATTGCGACTTTTCTATGTATGTCAGGATTTCTTGTTTCCGTAATTCTTCAGAGCCATATAATATCTTAGATTTTGTTGCGTTCTTCAATGTGGGGCAGTCACACTGGTCAGCTGACTCTTAGGAAAATCGTCATCTTTGTTGTTGTAACAAAACGTTCAAGTCGCTTACAAGGACTAACTTTTCTAGGAACGCGAGGTCTTAATTGAATCATTCATAACATACCTGTTGTGATCTAAGGCAGCTGGTATGATATATGGACCATCATATTGGTAGTGACTTTCTACTATCACCATCATTACTTGGTTCGTTACGTAACAGCAATATCAAATCGTCAACAGAAATTGACCGATGTATTCGTTTGCGGTCAAAATTATCCTTCATTTCGGTTTGTTGTTTGGTTGTCATATCCCTCGCTTCCTGTCGGATTTTATCGATTGGTACTGACTCAGGAATACTGATTTCCAATGCCAGAACATAATCGTTTGTACCGTTAGGTTGATAACCAAACAACATCCCAGCAAACACAGCTGTTATATAACATCATCAACGAAACTTTTTTATGTAGAATATTTACATAAATATTCCATAACAACTCTGAAATATGTAAACCTCGTATTTATATAATATATTCACGAGAATATTCCATAACAATTCTGAAATATGTGAACTACATATTTATATAAAAGTTTAATGTAACTATGATGTAACTGATATGTGAAAATTTTCTATCAATATAAAAGCTGTTATCTTATACAATAGCTACAGGACTTCACAACGTATCTTATCATTTGTTGGGCAATACTGAGGATGTTTACTAGCGCTTACAGACAGGAGAAAAAAAAATTATCATCGCGGTGGGAGAGCGACTATACATTATCATGCACCAATCTTCAGATACGTGCGTGGCGTAGTTGCTTGAGATTTAGAGCTCCACACCGGCGACCCGTGCTCATCAATACCTGCGACATTTTTCATTCTGTTTTCTCGAGTGATTTTTCGAAAAATATTCATTTTAGAAAGACGGTTCATTAAGGACGAGTAATATAGGTTAGTTTCTTTATAAAGAGTAGTATTCTTTCCTAAGCAGAAGGGATATCCTCCCTACTCCCTGAAAAAGAACTGTGTTGAAGGCATGTTTTACTGTTGAGGCCGATACGGATTCGGTATTCACCGCGATGATTATTATTTTTTGGTCTCGCGTTGTAGCGTTCCCCCTTCCCACAGTCCCAATTTCCATTGGTTGACTACTTTGAGGTTAAAAGTTATAAGTGACATGTGAAAACTTGGAGACAGAAGGCATTTTCGGTATTTTATAACTATTTCGAGTGTTTTTCTTTTTTCCACCATTTTTCTGCTGTGTTTGATGAACTCTGAAGTGTTAACAAGAATAAGTGGAGGTTAGTGAGTATGAAACGTTACACCTGACCATGCGCCATTGGTGTTGCTGTAGCTTTCAACACATGTTTTACTTCTACCCTAGCACAAAATTCTCCGAACTTCTTGCTGGTGAACGCTGTACCTCGATCTGAAATAATTCTTTTAGGCACCCAAAAATATCAATAAGGTCTTGGAACATTTTTATCACCGGGTTGGTCTCCGTAGAAGGTACAGCCCTTGCCCAACAATACTTCGTGAATCCATTCACGGCCACTATGAGGTCAGGATTTTTCATATTACTCGTGACGAATGGACCCGCATGATCTACATGAATGGTATGTATTGGTACATTATACTCTCCTATTGGATTCAGAAGGCCCGATTTTTTACCCCTAGACGCTTTGTTATACTGACATGCTGAACATCCAGATATATATCTACGTACATAGCTCTTCATTGAACGAAACCAATATAATTTTGCAATTGCCAATACAGTTTTGTTCAAAATTAACGACTTGACGTCAAGCAGTCCTTGGTACCTACTAGCGAAGACCATCGCTTGTTTTTCGATGAATACGATTTTTCTCTAATTAATATTTTCTCAAGATATCGTAATGCTCCCTATCTTCACGGGAGTTATTCTCTACAATTTGATATATATATATTTACATTTTTCATTCGGCTAGTTGTGCTGCATGAATCCAATCAACCTCACTTATTTCAATATGTGTTGAAGACACTCTCTCTCCAAATTCACAGTTCACGGGATTCCGACTCAATGCATCCACGTGTGACATTTTTGTCCCAGGTCTAAACTCGACCAAGAAGTCAAATTCAAATGTAGTTAACCACCAGTTAACCACGCCCGATGCGTGAAATTAAATGTAGTGCGTATAACGTTACAACCAGTAACTACTTTGAAGTCCAATTGAGCTGATATTGTCTACACCAAAACGTTGAAAATTGTTTCTGATATATTGAACCTTGCAAAGAAAGGTAATGAGTGCAAAGCGAGTTTTGGCTCTTGTGACTGGTGTTGAATTTTGGTCCCGAGATTTTAGGGAATGGTGGTGGTACAGTCTATCAATAAGGTGTTTGGTAGAACCATTGTTATGACCTATTTGTTTTATAGTATTCAATTCAATATTGGAATGCTCAGGGTCCATAGGAATATTGAAAAGTCTGTTGAAGAGTGAATGAAAGGCGGCAAATTTTTGTGGGAAATAGGATGGCCAGAAGAAAAATGTATAACATGATCTGTGTGTGTTGGTTTTCTATAGATTAAGGAATCAAAGGTTGTATTTTCAATAATTATGAGTAGGTCTAGGAAGAATAGAAAATTATTTTGAGCAAGTCCCATGGTGTAATGAATTAATTGGTGAAGGGAGTTGAGAAATTTCAAAAGAAGATTGACTTCCTGAATGAAACCATCAAAGAGGATTAGACAGTCATCGACATATCTATACCAGGAGCAAACCTTATGAAATAAATGGCAGTCTATTTTCTTAGTATCGTAGAAAAATTTCTGCTAGGAGAGAGGAAATGTTGCTGCCCATGGCCAAACCAGAAAGTTGTGCATAAAAGAGCTGATCAAATTGGAAAAAAATTGTTTCAAACCTATATCTAACAGAGAGTATAAGTTCAAGCAATGGTGAGTGGGGATCCCTGATTCAAATAGTAGGCTGCGAACCAAACTTATACAATCCTCTGGGGATGACTGAGGAAGAGATTTACTACATCAAAAGACAATAAGATAGCATTAGGAGAAATATTAAAATTTTTTATTTTATTGGTCAGGTCAACTGGATTTTTTATGGAGGAAGGGTTATGAAAATCTGTGAGGTCTTCAATCAGAGAGTTCAACCATGCGGCAAGCTTGGACGAGGGAGAGTTGCAGTACGAGACAACAGGTCTGATGGAAATGTTGTCTTTGTGTATTCCGGGCAAGCCATAGAGCAGAGGGGATTGAAGGATTCATAGGTGTCAGTTTCAATTTGGAGGACTCATAATATGTAATGGTATCAATACACATGGTAAGGGTTGTTTTCATACTGATGATAATTTTTTCGGTAGGATCAATAGATAATTTGTAAAAGCTATCAGAGAGTGAAAAGTCGTTTACTTTGTCAACATTATTTGATCTATACAAAATTACTAGGCAATTGCCCTCATCAGTTTTGGTTACTACAAGATTGTTAACAGAGATTTTTTGAAGACAGTTTTACGGCATTCGATATCAGAAGTGGAAGTGCCAATTGGAAGAAAAAAAAAATATTGTCCAAGGATCTATTGATTCCAGTCCTCAACAAGTCTTTGTTAGTGAAATCATTATATTCAATGACACGTTCGCTTTCTATTGCTAAAATTTTGAAATTCTGAAGGTTAGTGTGTGTCTATCAATGTTATATTACAATCCCTGGTTCTAAAAGGAAAGTTATTCTTCAGAAAATTCAAAAGCAGAAAGATTCAAAACCCCAGAATGAAATTTATGATTGAAAAAATGGTTGTACGTTTTTGTGAATTTACAGTGCTGTGGTAGTTGAAACTTAAACTTGAACGGTTCAGTTCATCTTTCAGTGTTGAGTACTCCATCCTTCCTTAGTCCTCCACACAATTCATGAGAGAAGAAAACAGATCATCCAGTTCAGTACCAGGCAACCAGGTGACGTTACAGTGACGTCTTTTTCAAGTCACTTGAATGACCAAGGTGACGTCAGTAGTTGACGTCGCATTGACGTACGTGATAATGACGTGAATGAGTCACAGCCCAATGACATATTACTCACGTCGTATTGACGTCATTGAATCACCAAACTGTGACGTCCGACTGACGTCATAATGACGTCAAAATGACGATTGAATTTGGCGATGATAAGTAAAAAAGATTCCTTTAGCATGGTGTGATTAATACCACTAGCATCTGATGACATTATATGAT